CATTTTCGTTTATGATCGATTTCATCACGACTCTTCTGTTAAGCGTCGATACTAATTAAAGATTATCATTGCTCAAGAAATAGTTCAAATCTTAATCTAACAAATGGACAATTTTGCCTTTACACAATGTGGAGAATTTTATTGTTGCTCCCGGTATATTTGCAGTAGATATTAATAATACAGACACGTTTCGTCAACATGTCATGGCGGCTGCGAAACCATTTAACATCGTGAGGGAGTAATTGAAAGGCTCCGCCAGTCACTGATCCGTCGGGTGCATGCGTGTGTAGAATCAAGCGGATGACATTTAGAACATTTATGAGTTGCTGTTCTTCGGTAAGACGATAGCGTTTATATCGACATTTTACCTTGTTTTGGTGTCAGAAACCCACCTTCAAATTTCGTAAAGTCTTTTTGATATAGCCTATATATATATATATATATATATATATATATATATATATATATATACATATATATAGATAATGAATATTGAAGACAACACTCAGGAACGACAGGCTGTTTCATGCCTGTCGGCTTTAAGTGTTGACTTCAATGTTCACTTTTTATATTTATATTTACATATACTCTATCTTTGATATTGAGCACTTTATCCCATAAATAACACAAAACTTAAAACTATATTATATTATATATATATATATATATATATATATATATATATATATATATATATATATATATTATGCGTATTTAGTCAGCATTATTTCATTAAATAATACAGACAAATGTTGTTTATGTATTTTTCTAAATTCTTTGAAATATCGTCTGATAAATATAATTATATTATCAGTAAACGAAAAAAGAAAAGAACAGTATTGATATATATATATATATATATATATATATATATATATATATATATATATATATATATAAAATATGTATCAATATTTTGATTTTCTTTCTTCGTTAAATGATAATGTTATTAAATTTATAAACGATATGAAAAGAATTTATATAAAATAAATAGACAAGTTCTCTCTCTCTCTCTCTCTCTATATATATATATATATAAATGTGTGTGCGTGTAATATATTATATATATTATTATTTATATATTATTTATATGTTACTTATTACAAAGCACTCAATATCAGACATAGAGGTAACATGTTTGTCTGACGATCGCAAAATCGTGAAACCCAAGCTCACAAAATCACATCAATTCAACCAAATATATATATATATATATATATATATATATATATATATATATAATAGTTTTTGTTTAAAATATGATTCCTTAACGAACATTATTTTAAATCCCGTTTCATCTTCAAGCGAAAGTTTGGGAATTTTTCGCTTGAAGATGAAACGTGACTAAACACCTTAATTTAACTTAATTTTAATAATTATTTGGATGGTTTCGGCTCTCGTTTTTGAAACATGAGAACTCTTATGTAGCGAAGGAATCATATTTTTAAACAAAAAATATTATTATAATAAAGCTCTACTTCTGTAGGGAGCAAATACTAAGGAACCCCGTATTATGCACCCAACGTGTTCTTTTCTATTTTCTGTATACCTGCGCACTTGATCTGATTCATGTTAGGGGCTGGTGGAAATTCCAGGTTGGCCAAATAACCTCAGAGACCGAATTCTAAATAGTTAAACATTGACTGTGTCGCAAAATGTTCATTTGGGCCACACAGAGTTAAAAAAACAAAAGACCAAACCATAATATCGTTTGAAAAAGGCATCTGTTTTGTGTCGAAGCTGGCTGTGGTGGCGAAATTGTTTTATCGGGAATAGATTACGCCAGAATGCGAAACGTCTAATTGACCACCCACTTGATAATTGGCGAAAATCTCGTTGACGACTTCCATATGAAATTCGGCTAAAATGGCGAAACTGTTTTATCGGATCAGTGGTTGGCGCCAGGAGTGTAGGTACGTCTGGTTGACCACCCACTTGTTAATTGGCGAAAATCTCATTGACGAATTCCAGGTAATTCGGTTAAAAGATAAAAAGTCTAGGGTGTGAGGTTTCCTCGAAGAGAAGAAAGAAAAGGAAAAGTGAAAGAAAAAAAAAAGAAGATCATTTTTTTTTTTCTTTGAGCAAGATTTTTTAAACCGAGGCTAGTCTAGCCACACCACGCCGCTGGGCGCCCATTGGCTGAATGATAGCAGGAGTATTGTGCGGACGTAATCATGTGAAGCAGGAGGGGATAGGTGTGAGATGCCACTGTGAGAGAGAGGGAAAACCGCTGACAAACTCTGAGGGTATTGTGAGATACCAATACGAGAACAGAAGAAGGTGGGAGGACGAGAAGACTTCCCAAAATGGAAAATGATAAAATTTTCCTGACCGAAAACAAAGAAGTGGCTTGTGGGTTTGGAATTATCAAGGAACCTCAAACCCCGACAAGCCCACCCCGGTTTGGGTCGGCGTCCATATAAGCAAAGTCGCAGCGAGCGAAAATGAGTTTCAGTTGCAGTTCGAGATCCGGTTGAAGTTGGCAATTGACAGAGACAGTTGCAGAGTTAATAGCCTCGCAGATAGCTGACTTGAAAGATTTCACGCAATTCCGAACTCATCTTCTAACCAAGAACAATTTATTTTTGAAGAACGACTTAGACTCACACCACCGAAACAAGTTTTACGAATTTTGCCTGAAGACACACCAAGAACCAGTTTCTTAAAAGAACAAACAACTTAAGATGTTAAGACTCGCCTAACAAACACAAAGTGTCACGAATCCATATAGCGGGTTTGGGAAGAAAACTCAGTCCTGTACTCAGCAACCAGATATAAAGTATTGTTATTCTTTTTTTAACACATTTTAACTTTTCGAGTTATTATTTTATTTTCTTTTACAAATACTTGTGCGATATCCCCCTTATTCAAACTCAGCTTGCATTACGGCCCGGCGACTGATTGATTTCGTCTGCCTAGATCAATTCACAACGTGGGTAGGTTAGACTAGAAATCAAAGCAGTTACTTCGGTAACCAGACGTTGGAAGCGAGCTAGAAACGACGAGGCTGATACCGAATCTAACCAAATTCCCATCCGAATCACCAAAAGGTTAGAACGTCACATTTGGTGCCGCGACCAATACCAAGCCAGTTGGTCGTCACAAGACAGGAGAGCACGACTGATGCAGACAGGCAGACGTCACGTTTGGAACGGCGACACCCAGTGGGGGGGGGACGTCACAGACGTTTCGTCGCACTGTAGACGAATGATATATATATATATATATATATATATATATATATATATTAGTAATAATAGTCTTATAAGTATAAGAAATTATACTCGTCCGGAAAACCTTCGGTGTCTTGATTTGCAAATAATCAAACCAATACCAAAGGGGAAAAAAGATATAAAATAGGTTATAAAAAAGAAAGAACAAAGAATATGTACGTCATCCGAAATAAGCCTCCAGCATTCAAGTCCAAATTTAAAAAAAAAAAACGATACGAGTAGGCAAAATAACTAAATAAAGTGCTCAATACGGTAAGTAGAGCAGACCTAGTTAAACCTAGAGAGCCAGACAAACCTACCAAGGTTTCACCTAAGTGGATCGCCAGGGAAGGCTGACGATCAGGTTTAACTAATATATATATATATATATATATATATATATATATATATATATATATAGACGATGTCCGTCTGAAATGAAACGGGAAAGGTGTGACGAATAATTCCAAGCAACAGACTACATTGTCTTCCCTTCAATATAACCTCGAGTCTAATTCCCTTTTGACATGCTTCTATTTACTGCGGGAAGGATTCTTCGTCGTTACGTCCGTCTTAATGGTTCCCACACCTTCAAAACTGGCACCCTTGATGGTCCCCTTGAACTTGTGTAAAAGAAGAAAGTCATACGGAGCATGAACATGTGAATAGGAAAGTTGTTCCAATACGGCAATATTCTTCTCAGCCGGGAACTGCTAGATACTCAGGGCGTTGTGAGCAGGCGCATTGTTTTGAGGAAGCAGCCACGGTTTTTTATCACACAAAAGCATGAGAAATAAATCAATGGCTCCATAAAGCTAAGACTACAGTTATATACCTCTAATACATCATGTTAGATAATAACATAATCCGCTAATATTTCTTTTATCCATTTCTCACGCATCACACTCAGTCCCGTTATTTTTCAAACAGACTTCAGTGTATATAAACCCTGAAAGATTTACCAATCTCCGTTGTTTAATATAAAATTTATTATCTGCCTATATTTCTGAGATGAGGCATGATGTAAATTATTTACATTATTCATACTATTGTCCTCATCTTTGTTGCCATATTTATTACAACACTTCGGCCGTTGTACGCCCTGGCCTTCTTCAGGTGGTTGGAATGTCGAACTTAACCCTTTATTTCCCTCACTGGGGCAGACTGTTCTAGTTCCACGTGCCATGTTTAATGGATGTCAGTTATCTCCTGTTAATTCCCTTCTCCAAGTTATCCACTGCCTTAACCGGGTATTGAACTCCCACTCTTTGGGTCCTGTCACTAGATCTAACCAACGCCTTTATCCACTGTGCTATGCGACAAAAATGAGAACAATAGTCCGAATAATGTAAATAATGTATAAAATTTATTGTGAAAAAAATGACTTGTGTATTAAAAAATGACTTGTGTATTAAATATATATCGTAGCTGTGTGCAAGAAAGAAAATATTTATAACGTTTCTTGTCGAGAAGACGAAATTTTCAACTGTTTTAAAGTTTCAACATTTCAATATTGCTAACAGAATTCGATTCTTGGCAGCTAAGGCCAATGTTTACTTGAAATGTTGCTTGTTTTATTTTTTTTGTAATCTTATTTTATTTTTTGCAAGTGTCTAAGGAATTGGTAAAATTACAGCAGGTGTCAGGAAGGCAAAATTTAACTGTCTCGGCAGTTCCATTTTTCCAGTAAATTATGTTGTTTCCTAATGTTTTGCTTCGTGTTCATTAGATATTCAGTAGTTGTCAGGTAAAATTAAACTCACACAATAATTGTCACATAAATTCCAATTAGAGCAAAAATACTTTCACGTTTATACACAGACGTGCACATAAACAGAAATATGTGTGTATGTGTTCTTGGTTTATTTTAATAAATATGCTGAAATCAGAAATAAATGATATATATGTATATAAACATAGATAGATAGATAGATAGATATGAACAGACTCAGATAGATAGATAGATAGATAGATAGATAGATAGATAGATAGATAGATAGATAGATAGAAACCAAACTGAGATAGATAGATAGATAGATAGATAGATAGATAGATAGATAGATAGAAACCAAACTGAGATAGATAGATAGATAGATAGATAGATAGATAGATAGATAGATAGATAGATAGATAATGAACAGATTGAGACAAGTTAGTTGATAGATAGATAGACAGACAGACAGAGAGAAAGAGAGATAGATAATGAACAGATTGAGACAAGTAAGTATATATTAACAGAACAGATTGATATAGATAGAAACCAAACTGAGATAGATAGATAGATAGATAGATAGACTGACAGATAATGAACAGATTGAGACAAGTAAGTATATATTAACAGAACAGATTGAGATAGATAATGAACAGACTGAGATAGATAGATAGATAGATAGATAGATAAACTGACTGACAAAAAGAGAGATAGATAACACACTGAGACAAATAAATAGATATTAATAGAACAGACTGAGCTAACTACATAGACAGACAAACAGACAGACAAACAGACAGACAGATAGAGAGTAAAAGGACAAAAATGAAAGCCAGTGCACAGAATGCGTACATCGATTTGTTCCTAACAGTGTTTCCATAAAAGACAACAATTGTACTTGTTTAACAATAGACCCGCAAAAATACAACATCCATCAGGCGTGAAAAAATTACTTATGAATTCCTCTCGTCCGGTTTTCAATCCAGTTAATTAGTAAACATATGCGCTTTCATGCTTGACTGCCTGCCTATGACTTGTTTTAACTAGTTTATCTATCTATATTCGAACGTGCATATATATATATATATATATATATATATATAAAGGCATTTTTACGTTTCTACATTCTTTTTATAGATACAAATATTTAAATAAAGGCTCTGTTTATAATAAACAACATTTATCGGCCTGAATGTCCGAGAAATTTTCACAGAAAATATTCGTCCTCCGACAGGATTCGAAACTGTATCCTATACGGAACCGTCATTTAGATTGACGTGCCTTTAACCGATTTGGCCATAGAGAAGCTTTCGGTTAGCAAGGTCGAATTTACTGTATTTAAAGGCACGACAAGCTAAATGACGGTTTTCGTATATGATACAGGTTCGAATCCTGTCGGAGGACGAATATTTTCTGTGAAAATTTCTCTGACATTCATGCCGGTAAATGTTGTTTAATTCTGTTTATTATAAACAGAGCATTTACTTAAACTTATAAAAAAGAATGTATAAACATAAAATGTCTTAAAATAATTTTCGGACTTTGTCCATTTCATAATGTGTGACGTCATATATATATATATATATATATATATATATATATATATATACACACATTATATATATATATATATATATATATATATATATATATATATATATATATACACAAAAATATATAAAATGGTGAAAAATGTCCCAATTTTATGCCTATCCGAGTGCTTTCAGTTATCCTTTTAGCCATTATCAAGGATTTTTTTAAAAATTTTATTTGTAGCTGAATGTATGGATTTTTATGCCTGTATCTAGAGTTATAGGAATTTTTCCAAACACGGTCAGCATATTGTGGCCGTGTCCATAGTTGATGTGATTGAGTTTTGACGTTTTCTTTTTATTAACTTCTCCATTACAATGTTTACGAGAGATGTAACGTGAGTCTTCTTGATAGGCATGTAGTGGTATGTCCAATATAATTATTCATACATTTGTTTTGACGCATTTCCTTAAGAGTCATATGAATTTATAAATAATATTGATTCTCTACAATTTAGATCTTGCAGGTGTGTTTTTATTGTTAATGATAAGGTTCGCTGTTTTAAATTTTTTTATAGTAGATAATCAATTTAATCTTCTTTTTTTGGTCTTAATATTTCTAAGAGAAATTTCATCTTGTTATATATATATATATATATATATATATATATATATATATATATATATATATATAATCCAAAAATATATATAAAATTAAAACCTCTGAATATGATAAACTCATCACTGACAAAATTACTCGCTCGTATAAGAAAGACAAAACAATAGCACTTTATACTCTATTAATGAAAACATCTCAAAATTTGCTGACAAATGTGGAATTGCTGACAGAATGGGTAATTTTAATATTAAAAATGCATACATTCTATTTAAAGATCATAAACCTAACTTTATCAATAGCTTGCAGTCCCGTTTAATTAATCCCTCTAAATCTGAGTTGGGATCATTTCTAAAAGCATTCTTAAGAAAATAACATCATGTGTGCTAGATAAATATTCAGTCAACCTTTGGAAGGACTTAGCAGCGACGATTAAATGGTTCCTAAAGATCCCCAATAAAAGGAAAGCTACTTTCATCCAATTTCACATCTTCCATTTCGGAGGAACTATTAATTAATAGCCTTAATTTCGCAAAAAGATATACTGAAATCACAGATAATGATCTAGACTTGGATGAAAAAGAATAATGAAAGTTTCGATGTACCTATGGGAGCATTCGACTCTGCCGAAATTGTAGATTTGGTGGACATATATATTTTAGACACATTAAGTGGAATAGTTAACCATAATCAATTTTGAATTTATAGAGATGATGGCTTAATCATTGTCCGTATTAGCTATAGTCCCTTGACTTCCAACTTACATAAATGGATCATTAGGGCCTTCAAATATCTAGGCCTTAAGATTAAAATATCTTCAAACCTTAAAAAAGTCAACTTTTTAGACATCACCCTCAACCTCCCTAATTAGACTTTTAAGCCCTTCCATAAAATTAATCAGACACACTTACACATCAATGTCCACTCAAACCACCCGAAATCTGTAATGGATCACATACCCAAAACCGTAAATACTAGAATAAATAGTCTACCTTCTAGCCAGAAAACCTTTAATGAAAATAAGTTTATATACAACCAGGCTCTCAAGAATAGTGGTTTTAAACAGGAATTAAAACTATCACGAAGAACTGAAAATCCATGTAAGAAGGAAATTCCATCAGAAATTGTCCAAAGTTCATATTGAAAGGAATCTGGTCCAAGCTTTTAACTTTCTTAAGTTATCATCAGGATAGGTAGAGACAAATGGTGAGTTTAGTAGAACTGGTGAGTGTATATATATATATATATATATATATATATATATATATATATATATATAGGAAGCAATTTTCCATTGATGATGTTTCATTAAATAATATAGACAAGTTATATCTATTTTTATGTCGGTAACATTCATATTGTCTGATAAGCTTAATAACATTATATATATATATATATATATATATATTCAGATATGCTTAAATCTTAACCTAACAAAGGGACAATTTTGTCTTTACACGATTTAGACAATTTTGCTGTTGCTGCCGGTTAACATTAATAATACAAACACGTTGCATCAACGTGTGATGGGGGGGGGGCTGCGAAACCAGTCTATACTCATGAGGTAATTTTGGATTCCTGTTATGTAATTTATATGTTGTGTTATAACAAATACATTGAGCTCTTCTTGTGGATCACTTTTAATATTTTATATTATTAGGATCCACTTGGATTATATACCAACGGATTTATTATATGTACTATATGCCCATGTGTGCGCATGCGTGTGTGACTGTGTTTTATTTTTTGTAAAAATTATTTTTACTGTGTTTTTCATGTGTGAGAAGAAGACATTTCTTTTTGGCGACAAAGTGTTGTAGACTGTTCGTTCGCTTTATCTATTAACTATTTTCAAGAATTTCAAGGACATATATATATATATATATATATATATATATATATATATATATATATGTCCTTGAAAATTATATATATATATATATATATATATATATATATATATATAAGCTTTCAGAGATCTATGAAAGGAGAAATTTCGATTGAAATCACGAAATTTGTCCTCGCCTGACCGACTGATTTTCGCGTGGCAATGTTAAGAAAATCCCAGTAACGATTCACGTTATGTATTAGCTATGTTCAAGAATTTCAACCATATATATATATATATATATATATATATATATATATATATATATATATATATATATATATATATGAAGAATAAAATGACAGCAGACGCTGTCGGCGAAACGCATTGTTTATGGCTTTTCTAATTAGTCTTATTGTCTTTAATTGTGTTTCAAATACCATTATACATCCTGTACCCAAAAATTGGACTTGTCTGACCGGTTGTTCTTCGTGGCTGGGGAGGTGGGTAAGTCGTTTGGGCTAAATGGTTGCTCCCCATGTCCTGAGGGACGCAGGTTCGATTCCTGCCGGAGAGCGCAATAAGATTTCTCGAATATTCAAAACGGTAGACGATAATAAATATACCGTTTACTAAATAAAGGGGAGCTCTAAATCAAATACGAGTATCCATTCTAAAAATGCTTTTTGTTTACGCTTGGATAGAAAACTGTGCAGATATGAAAAAAAAATCTTTCAAGAGATCTCTGACAGGAGAAAATTGGCTTGAAAGCTCGAAATTTGGCCTCGCCTGACCGACGGCTCATCGTGTGCCAACGTTAAGAAAATCCAATAACGATTCACGTTATACCCGTGCGTAACCCGTTAGGGTCGTAAGGACATCATATTGTACAGCAGCCATAGTAGCAGTGTATCTAGGGCGAGATAACCTGATGAAGCCCATCCCTCTTTAAGCTGGTTTTGAATCCAGACTTTTCTTTCTCATAGGCTGAAAGATTAGATGGATTCATGCATTTACACAGAGTGTCTGTCCGAAAATATATATAACGAAATCGCCCGGAATTCTATCTCGGCTCACACGTACATACATTGAGTACACGCGTATACAAAATCACGTGTACACAATTAATTCTTCTTTCAAGATTAGCAATAACTTCTCCATCCTCCAACAATAAAAAAATAGTCCCCAGAAATAGAAGCATTCGGCTCGGCTCGCGCAAAAAGATTCTAGAATGAAAGTCGACTGATTGATTTTTTATGACTTATCAACCCTTTGTGGGTTATTTTAAACTGAAACATATTTTGTATTGTCTGAATAATATTTTTAGAGCGGATATTGTATTAACAATTTTTTGGATATAACAATGATTTTTATAGATACACGTCCTACTATTTAACCCATAAATGGGGATATTTGTGCATAATGAACGGAACTAGAATTCGAACTCGGCTTTCTAATATCTAATTCGAAGCCTTTATTCGTTACATCCCCGGTGCATATGAAAGTGATTATAAGGAAAATAAGAAAAATTGTTTTATTGATTCGTTTTTTTTACGGCTTATCAAGACTTTTTTAGCTTGTAAGAAGTTTTTTTTTTGTTTTAGATAATAATAATAGTTTAGTGAGTTTTTTTTTTCTTCTTGGCCTCGCTTGGCTTATGAAGATTTATGAAGGGGACTGTCTACGTCAATGGCAGACACGCTGATGGCTGACTAGGCCGATGCGGGACAGGCAAGTCCGGCCGCAGCAACTGCAATTAAGGGTCTGGTCTGGTATAGCTGCTGAGGCTTCTCGGTCTTTCTTCCCGCGGTGTTTCTCCTTCAGGTTGGCCCTGCGAGAATCCTTAAAGTTCGAGACGGCCTGGTGGACGATGTGGAGGCAGGCTTGACAGTGACCAACAAGTTTCGTACACTGGCGATGATCAATGTGGCAGGTTTCGAGTAACTTCTTGAGGGAGTCCTTATAACGATTCTTTGGGGCTCCTCTGTCACGGTGGCCAGTGGAGAGTACGCCGTAAAGGGCTATCTTGGGTGGTTTAGTGATACAAATATTACTAATTAACCCAAAACTGAGAGGAAATTCGAGTAAGTCAATATAACAAAACTGAGTAGAATTGGAACTTGGCACTCCAATTAACAATTACGAGCCATTACCAATTACACCAAACGCACATTCAAGCTTACTGCCTTGGTATTCCCAATCGGTCACCCATCTAGGTACTGGCCAGTTTCGGCTTTGCTTAACTTCGATGATTGTAGGGTAACCGGTCTTTCAACGTGATTCTGACGTCAGCCGAACTTAAAAAAAGCAAGTAAAACAAAACCGAATAATAGAGACAGAGAGAGGTTCATTTTTTTACGGTTTATCACCTCCTTGTGGATTATTTACATTTCTTTACACGGTAAGAATAATCCATTATTTTGGAAAGTAAACAATTTTTTGTGAGAATAAAAATTATTTTTTCCACATACAAATCTTACTATTCAACCGATAGCTGGAGAGGAAATGGTTCCATACCTTTGCCAAGAGTATTTACACATAAGTGAATAAAATGACCTCGACTAAAATTCGAACTCGGCGCTCCGATTTCTAATTTGCGAGTTGCTAACCATTGCACTTCCTGCACGATCTTAATGAGAAAGAAAAACGTAGCAGAAAGGTCAAAACGAGATAGTAAAATGGCGACAGCAAAAAAAAAAAAGGCAGAATTACCTAGAACAGTAAATTGGGAATAAGAAAAGAAAACGAGACGCCATTTTATCCTTGTCTTTATACGTGTGCAGTCATGTCCACGTAGCCATGTGTGTCTGTATGAAGAAAAAAAATTTCAAGGTTTTGAATAAAGATTTTTATGTCGGCCTCTTCATCCGCAAAGGTGAAGGTCTATGACCTTTCTATTTCAATCTATATATTTTAGGAGATTCAAAATCCAATGTCTGCTTTCTATTGATATTTAAAAGGAGAAACTTAAGGGTTCTCAGCAGGGCACGCTTCCCATGAGTAACCAAGTTTGTTCAATTGTGCAACAGCGCGGATATTTAATGATTTTAGAAGATGCTTATTGGTAAAACTGAGCACTATTTCCACACGCGCACACACACACACACACACACACACACACACACACACACATATATATATATATATATATACATGCACTCAATTTCATATATATATATATATATATATATATATATATATATATATATATATATATATAGGTTGCGATGGATAAATTATCGTCTAAATTACGCAAAAAATGAACATATACTGACATCACATTTTAACAAATATATTTAACAAAATTACGCAATAATATCTTGAAATACTAAAGAGTAAATTTATTCAATAAAATCGCCATTGGTTTCAACCATTGCCTCTAGATGACTTTGGAATCTCCTGCAACTCTTCTGGACGGTCTCCTTGTTTAAATTGGTGAATGCTGCCATAATTTTTGCCTTCAGATCATCTTTGGTGCTAAAGGAGTTTTGTTGGTCTCTCGTTCAGCTGTGCCCCACATATTATAATCAAGGGGGTTACAGTCTGGGGATTTAGGCGACCAGATGTAAGGGGTGATGTGGTAGTAGAAACTGTCTGACAGCCATCCCTGAGTTCTCCTGCTTCAGTAGCATAGTGCAGAGTCGTATTCCCAGACATAGACTGTTCCAGCAGAAACCCCCTGACTCCAACCAGCACTACCTCCTCAAGGCATATGATATCGGCCTCCGTGTTGAGTTTGATGCCCTATAGGAAGAGGAATAGAAGCATAAAGTCGTCATCACTAGTGATCCCTTCAAACACCTTCGGAATCACCATTAGATTCATCCAAATCTTCCCGAATCCTGTTCTCAGATTTGAAACCCCAAAACTCTGAAATGTTCGTACTGCAGCTTCCGGTGCGAATTCTAAGCAGAACAGCATGTTGTTTTCAAATTCCTGGCGGATAAAATTGCGCTATGGTGGTATTTTCCTCACAGATGGTACCCAACTAACTCTACTATACTCTGCAGTCAACAAAATCAAAAGGAAAAAACGCGCATGCGCGAAATTAAAAATATAAAATAGCGACAACTTACCCATCGCACACTGTATATATATTTGTAAGTCTGTCTGTAGCTATGTGATGAAAACTCATTTATTGTAAACCCCAATGTATTCATCTTCTTAATTCAGTAATAAATATTTAAGTCACAGTTCGAACTTCAAATATAAATGTAGACACTTAGATTTAAAACTTAGATAAACATCTAAAACGCAATAACTTAGATACGAGATCTGATGAAAAGTTATCTAGTCTGTTTCTATGGTAACGAGGCTAAAGTACACAGAGTGAAGCAGCTTGGCTCTGATTGACCTTGAACTCTGTCGCGCATGCCCAATAAGTTAAAACCTTCTCGCTCACTTCCGTTGTTTATAGCAGAACTTGGTGTGTAGAGTGTTATCGTTTCACCACACCACAAAGGTTCGATCAGTGACCACTGGCCAAGGACAACATTGCCCAGGTCCATATATCCCCAAATATTGACCCTTTCTATTTTTTCCTTTCAAAAATCAAATCCCACTTGAAAGCATTAAGATTTCGAGACGTCAAATAAACCCAAGAGAACACGACGAGACCCCTGCTTTCAGTCCCCACAAAAGGATTTCTAGAAATTCTTACAGGACTGCGAACGACTCTTGTGAAATTGCGTGGCTTTAGAAATGGACTACTCTGAAGGAGATTAAATGCAGAATTGATATGTATCTTAGTTTTCTCTTTATAGCACCATTCCTCATACTCCTTAGTCCTCGCATCTCATTGTATAGGTATTTGTTCATCTGTTCAAACAACCTCTTCACATAAAGATACAAACACGCTCACGCAGTATATACATTCTTAATCCAGCATCACTTGACACTGTAAGGTGTTGGATTTCTGATGGTTACATTATTTTTCTCGCACTTACTTTATGTCATAAATTGTTGACAAGCCGATTCTATATAAATCATGCACGCTTGGCACAAAACACTGCTTCAAAGGTTTTTTCTGCTATTTTGTTTTATTTCAGAAGTTCTACATCATGTGACATGAACAACGCGGGGTGTTAGCAATTCACACCACCAGAAGCATTTCTTGTATTCATTAGAGCCATGGTTGGATTTAAACGTCAGCAGGTTATGATAGAATGCACAAAAGAGAAGTAGAAATGGCTTACTTGGGATTAAAATCGCTCAAAAACAGCTGATGCAGCAGTTGGCGTCAATAAAATGTAGTGGTAGGCTGGAAAATCTGAAATTGCTCCCATAATAATTAGTACTGGATTACTGATTTGAATCGGATTACTGATTTCCGGTGTGGAGACGACTATCTATCTATCTATCTATCTATCTATCTATCTATCTATCTATCTATCTCAGTGTTCTGTTATCTATTTATTCCTCTCAGTCTGATCATATCTATCTAGCTCGGTCTATTCGTATCTATTTATGTATCAATCACAATCTATTCCTATCTTTAGCTCTATCTATTTATCGCAGTCTATTCATATCTATCTATCGATCTATCTGTCTATCTATCTATCTGTCTATCTATCCATCTGTCTATCTATCTTAGTCTATCCATATCTATCTCTATCTATTCATAGCAGTCTATTCATATCTATCTATCTTAGTCTATTCATATCTATCTATATCTATTCATAGGAGTCTATTCATATCTATCTATCTTAGTCTATTCATATCTATCTCTATCTATTCATAGCAGTCTATTCATATCTATCTATCTTCGTCTATTCATATCTATCTCTAACTATTCATAGCAGTCTATTCATATCTATCTTAGTCTATTCATATCTATCTCTATCTATTCATAGGAGTCTATTCATATCTATCTCTACATATATCTATCTACCGTAAAATGCCTGGGGCCACACTGCATTTCTAAAAGACAAAATAAAAAGTTTTTTTTTTTTTTTTTTTAAACAATGGATACAATTTTAGTAACTACAGTGTAGTTGCTTTTATTTTTCGGTCTTTTTCCAGGCTGTTCTTCTTACTAGCAAAATTTATAAGTCGTAGTAAGAAGAATGTTTATGTGAGAAGAAAGCCGGGACAGAGACTGAATGATGAATGTAGGCTTCTAACATTTAAGCATGGGGGTGGGTCTAATGAGCTGAGAATGTTTTGGGGAGAGGAAAGGGTTGGAAATTTGAGTCAGGTCAAGTGAAACATAAAAAGAACAATATCATTCGATATTGTAAAGACATGACATACCATCTGATTTAGGCATAATTGGGAGAAACTCACTATTCAACAAGAAGTTACAAAACATCTATGTCATGTCAAAATTACCATGAGTCAAAAAGAAAATTGGCTGCCTTAATCTTCTGACATCTCTCCAATGAATACCCAAAGAGTGAGCGTGAGATTTTGCAGTGCTAGAAGAACACTTACGAAAATTCTATTTTTTTTTTTGTTTTTTGTTTTTTAAATTGCTGGAAAGAATTTTAAAGCAGTAATTTAGGTAGGTAATTGTTTTATTGACGAAGAAAATATGATGTTGGTGTATAAAACTCCTTTAATAGTTAAATGTTTATTTGCCTGTCAAAATAAAAAGCAAATACACTGCAGTTACTTTTTTTTTTATATTTTACTTTAAAAAAAGATCTAATTTTAGGCGTTAGACCCACAAAGATTTCATCTCTAGTTTTGTATATATATATATATATATATATATATATATATATATATATATATATATATATATATATATATATATGCGTGTGTGTGTGTGTTGCATGCTTGCCCAGTTAAGGGCAGGGGCCAACAGAATTGTGTGGTTTATAAAGTTGAAATACACAGAAATAATCCTAATAGTAGTAACAAAATGTTAAATTTTTTCATAGGATTTACCCAAGGCAATTTGAAATAAGCGTTACTACACTCATTTAAATAGCTTTAAGCATGAAAATTCTAAAACACAGCACTAGCCTATATATACACATATGGAATATCAAAGCGAAGATGGTATTGACCCCATATTTAAATGGGAAATACTAAAAAATACCATAAGTATAAAGCAGGGGACAAGTATTGCTTATTATGTATGGCGGAAAAATTAGTAATAGCCACGTCGGAAGAACCTAATAATTTATTAAATCACAGATCTGAGATTCTAAATATGTGTAAGCATAGGAAATCCTGGTTATTGGTAAAGAGGATATGTGTTTTTTCTGTTGTCTTCTGTTTCGAAGTTTTATGCTAATTAGTTTTTTAGATTTTAGTGGTTTTATCAATAAATACTGTTTCATGCCATTTCCTTTTTAGCCAGCTTACCGTTTAGGTGAAACCTACGTAGGTTGTTCCTGACTCTTTAGGATTTATAGATGGACAATAATACAAGACAATTCTCCAGACACATAGTGACTTGTAGGCGCGCCATAAAAATATCCCTCACTGGGAACCAACTAAGGGGTGACCGCAAACATTAGCCTTGAAATAGATACCCTACCCAACCTTAGCAAAACCTCTCTGAAGACGATGAATCTATTGATAAGAATTAACTCTCTGACCACTTAACGAAGAAAAATAGTCTAGCCACTCCCACAATAACGAATTTTGTAACGGACCATGCCTAAAAACACACGTAAACCGAGAGATAGCTTATTCCTAAAATTTCGCTTGAGGATGAAACGGGACTAAACACCTCAATTCAACTTAATTCTAATAATTATTTGGATGGTTTCGGCTCTCATTTTTGAAACATGAGAACTCTTAT